CGCAACCAATCAGAAGACAGTGTTTAGGCAGGGCGGGGGAGTTGGCCCCACCCCCACAGCAGTCACAGGAGGGGGGTGTAACTGTGATGCAATTACATGCTTTATCAAATTATTTTGTATTAATAATAAAAAAAAACATTTCAATTGAGCCAGTTAAAAAGTCACCATGGAAATTTGAATCACCTGATTTCAATCACCAAATTTGAATTGCTGATATTATGTGGTAAATAACAAAAATACAAATGTGAAATTAAAATGATCTTAGGGTGTCACAGCCTCACAAACAAGGTGGGGCCCTGTTACTGTCAAATGTCAAAAGTACTGAGTAGCTTTTATGTGACGTTGTTTGGTTATTTTTTATGTTTAAGTTTTGGGTCAGGATTTCATAACTAAATTCCCCAAGAAGCTGGTCCTTGAATGTAATTGTGGAAAAATGTTTAATTGCTCATTCTGGCAGTATAAGCGAAATCAGACTGCAGGAAGCGAGCCTGAGAGAGCCTCATCTCACAAGGAGGTCATGTTGAATTTGGCCTCATTGGTGCTGACTGTGTTTACCTCACAATTGGCGGATGGGCACACCGGCCTCGAGGCCAGCCAATGACGGGCAGGGGGCACGCAGCTCAGGGAAGTAAACCCCGCAGGAAGCCGGCTCATTAACGAGGCTGGCACTGCGTAAATGCCGCAAGGGAAAAACACTGCAACTAGCCCACTGTGATCGAAGAAGTGATGGATCTGTTTCAGCATCATCATCACAGGATGAGTGCAGAGCACTGATTAACTCCAAAAATTTCAACAAGCACATTCCAACTAACATATCTGGTTACAGCAAAAGTCTACTACAACAGCGCACAAAAGACTGAACAGAGCTCCAGCCTCAACCTCATAATAAAGACAGACTAGTAGAGCGGCAAAAAAACCCTTTAGCTCAGGGGTGGCCAATCTTATCCGCAAAGGGCCGGTGTGTATGCAGGTTTTTGGGATAACCTGTAGGTCAGCTGTTCAAACCCAGGTGTGAGGACTCCTCAGCCAATCAGTCCTCTAGTTAGTAATCTAATTAGGGAGTTGCAGCGAAAACCCACACACACAGCGGCCCTTTGCGGATAAGGTTGCCCACCCCTGCTTTAGCTGTTTTAATTAGCGAGGCTTACAGGTCTGAGGCCTTCAAACCCCAGCCAATGAATGTAGGGTGGGGGGTCATTTCTCTCCACCCCTACAGCTGTGCTGTGATGGATGGATGGATGGATATTATGAAAGCTTGCCCCATGGTGTGTGTGTACGTGCACGTGGGTGACCCCAGCACACCTGCATGACCTCTAGCACAAAGAAGGGGGGGGGGGACTGTTTCACACACAGGTGTGCCCCCCCCCTCCCCCATGTAGGTAACACTAATGTTCCCCAGCCGCAGACAGCACTGATGACATGTACATGGCTTCTTTCTGACTGTCCTGCAACTACCGATGTAACAGGCGCAAAACAACATGGCGGTTCTCACGCACAAACCCCGTCCAAACGCTCCCCCACCCGCCGGCGGCCTCATTAAGCCCACAGATCCACCTGGCTGGATGTGCAGTGCGGTTCTCAGCCGGGCGTCCAGTATAAAAGCATTTCAGAAAATTCCCTGGTGCGTTTTGGTGACGGTTTTAGCTGCTGTGACACGGCAGTATAACGTGCATAAAAAATGCTGGAAACATCAGGCACTGTATGGACCTGCAGCCTCACACACACACAAGGTTGGGGGTCTGAAACCCCCCCCCACTATGGACGGAGTGACTCTGGCCAGGATAGGAATATGGATGAAAAAATAAAATACGAATCGTCTTAGGAATCATACAGCTTCAGAGTATTTTCAGTAAGTGAGCTTATTGACCTTTCCAGAGCGTTAACAGGCCTGTACCTGTCAGGCCTGTACCTGTCAGGCCTGTACCTGTCAGGCCTGTACCTGTCAATCTGTGCTTACCTTTTAAGGAGTCAAACACAAAACCATCCGGATAAAAAACACACACTCTCTCTTTTCCTGTCTGCGCACAAACTGTGGAATATAGCACTACACGGTGTAAAGCATACAGCATAAAGCATTCAGTGCTCAAGGGCTGGGGGGCGGGGGGCGATACAACCGAATTCCAAGCCTTATTTTCAGACGAGGGGGACGGCGCCTTTATTAATGGGGACCGTCAGCCTCTCAGCGTGCGGAGCAGTGTGCAAACACCCAGGTTCTGGCTTTTGGGCCCCCACGCCCCGCGGATGGCTTCCTGTCCGAAAGGGCTCGCTCTCATGGCAGGGGGGCGGGACCACGCAGCAGCCGTCGGCAGCCCCGTGTTTCTGATCTGGCACAGCGGGGTGGGGGCACTCGCAGGCCTGCCAGACCTCGGCTTGACGCCCTTCTCCCGAGCAGCCGACTCGCCGTCGGCGCTGATCTCAAATCGGCGTGTGTGTTTTTGCAAGCAGTGGGGGGGCAATGGCTTGGCGGGACCGTAAACCCCCTCCCTCCACATTCCTGGTCCTTCATCTTTCCTCCTAATAACGTCATGGGATCAGAGCCCCCCCCCCCCCCCCCCCATCTACACCTGAAATGTGCTCCCTGCGCCAAACACCAGCCAGTTAGAGACGCGTGACATCAGAACCCCGAAGATCAGCGGGGCCTGGCAGCAGGATCAGCCCTGGATGTTCTGGAGCAGCAGAAAACAACTGTTGTCAATTAATTTATATAAAAACATTTCAGTAACATGGTGTATCTGGCTGCAAACTAGTAGCTCGCATCTTCACAAGAAAAGAAATGCAATATTAAAACATATATAAATCACTGAAATGTCACCAGAGGTATCTCTTATGATTTTTTCAGTTGCTCTCTTGTGCCCCCTAACCACACGGCGCCCTAGGCGATCGCCTATCTCACCTACTGGGCAGGCCGGCCTGGCTCAGCAGAGCTCACGCCGTACACAGATCTGCGCATCCATGACGACCCGACAACAGGCTGGAGCGTTCAGGTATGAAGTATCTGGCACATTAATCTGACAGGCCGTTAACTGCCTGAAATCCAGCCGCCCCCCTCAGGAAGAAACTGGCCAGGCCCCCACCAAGCCTACTGTTTATTGTTTATTCGGGGGACTTTTAAACAAAGTCAAACAGGAATCAAGTTAAATACTGAGTGGAGTCAGCCGTCCTGCAGGAAACATCAAACCATATTTGAGCGTCCGTGGGGGTCGGGGGCTGTTTCATAAACTGTCATGGCGCGACACAGGAGTGACTCTCAGAGCCAGGCCGGTGCCGGCTAAGCAGGCCTGACGGATGGAACCAACCCGCACCGGGTTAAGTGGATGTGAGACAAAACATGGAGGAATTAAGCGCTTCTGGATAATCTCCGTGACGGATCCCTCTAAGCGTCATCGGAGGCTCCGATCTCACAGACGCGGCCGGGGGGGGGTTCGGTGCACCATGTACAGGCATGACACTGTACATAGATGCCCCCTGATGCTTCTGCAGCCTGGACGATATACAGCACAAGTCACAAAAATTACTGTTCCAGCTACAGTCACAAAAATTATTATTACAAAATATTAATAGTGTGGTGGAATTATTTAAGATGTCCTATACTGTAAAAACACTGCATCAGTAGACATTTTTAAAGCCTGTAGAGTTTGTGCTGTTCATCACCCGACGGCTGGGATCGCATTCAAAAGGAGACTGTCGCAGGCACCTAGAACTGCTTATTTTCTCAAAAAGTCATGCAGTTATGGGGAGTGATCAAGAGAAATTTCCAGATTTGTGTTGGAAGTGTCGCGAGCAGGATTTATGCGCCCTAACTCGGCCGGTCTTTTTCTGCTGCAGCCTCTCCAGGTGCCAGCAAATCTCAGCCACTATAAAAGGTTCGAAACGGATAAAGCAGCCAGATTGAGGTGAAACTCGCACTGCTAACTGCCTGAAGCTGCCAACTGCTCGACCCGCACGCCAGAAATCAAAACAGGGAAAAAGTTATTTTATTATTCTGTAACACTAAATGAGCATCGTTTAGGGAGGGATCCTAACTGCGCAGGCGAAGGCAGCTGTGATTTATGTGACACCAGGACCGGCAGAAGCATCACACCTATCAGAAAAGACCATGTCCGAATTCCTGCGCTGGCACATCAACCATGCAGAGACCAAACCAACGGCCCTCCAGTTTACCTCCAACTTCATTCTCAGGGCGACCGAGAAACACTTCCTTGCGTTCCCATGGCCAAACTGCCGCTCATCAGTAATGAACACTATCCCTGGTCCAGAAAAATAAAAAATGTAATCAGGAAAAACAGGGAGTCAGAACCCCCCCCCCCCCCCAACCCGTGTCGGGTGAGCGGGAACGCTGATTTATTAATGTAATAAGCTTGCCACATTACCTCTCTGTTTGGGGGGGGGAGGGGGCACAGCAGGCAGTGGGGGCCCAGCACATATGACAAATGGCTGCATTAGCCTGTGTCGCTCAGTCCTTCCCGCCCCCCTCCAGTGCTCGGATACTCCGGATACACACTGCACAGGACACAGAGGGGGGTGCCATCTGCCTGTGCCATATCTATGAGAGGGTCATGGCACCAGGGGCCAGGGACTGCTCAGGCTTGTTTTAAGGATCTAAACACAGCTGAAGAAATGTCATTGCACCTGGTCAGGCGTCATGACGATGTCAACATCTCCACGTTTACGCCCATGAGGATCGGTCTAGTGCAGCCGGCCGTCTCTCAGGGCATTGAGTGCCACAGCAACTCCATCGATATGAGCCATCAATCGGCCACACTGGGACTGCTTGGTCATTTGTATTCATGAGCTGTCAATCAGCGGCACTGGACCGATGGAACCATCGAGAGCAGGTAGACGGAGCCAGGGAGAACAGGGAGTGGACGGATGGAGCCGGGGGGAACCGGGAGCAGAATGGGGAGCGGGCAAAAGGAGACAGGGGGAACGGGGAGCAAAATGGGGAGTGGGAAAATGGAGACAGGGGAACGGGGAACGGAATGGGGAGCAGGTGGATGGAGCGAAGTGGAAGGGGGAGCGGACAGATGGAATCAGGGGGAACAGGGAGCAGAATGGGGAGCAGATGGATGGTGCCAGGGGGATCGATCGTAGCTGGTATTAATTTACTGCTAACATTCATCGCAGCCTGAAAGGGCGGTCAGAGGGCTGTGACACGGACTCATTAAACACCATCCATTCACGCGTTATTATTCTGATGTGGGGGTTGGTGCGTGGGGGGGTGGTGGATGACTTGCCTGAGAGCACAGCAGCATGACGAGTTCGACCACAGAGCCGTGAGGCTGCAGAAACACCAGGCCTGGGGGGGGGGGACAGACATCACGGTCATGGCCTCAGTTACGGATGCACATGAGCAGTCAATATGCTCGACCCGCACGGAGGGCGCGGGGGAATCATGGGAGCCAATCAGGAGCTGCATGATACTCTAACCATATAACTATAATCTATAAATAATTATAACTATAAACTATATATCTCAGACCACCGACTCCTGTTATAATTGGGACATGATCTCAGTTTAGGGACAGATTGGGTTCTATAGAGGTCAGACCTGCCTAATAGTTTACATTAATATTACATTAAGTTCCAGTCATGAACTACTCTCCGTAAATACATTACTGCACCATGAGCTGCATCACCTGCAACTTTATATTCTAATGCGGCTTTAGGTGGGGAGATGTGTCTGTACCCGAGCTGCTCAGTGGGTTTACTCACACACACACACACACACACACACACACACAAACAGAGAGACACACACAGACAGACAGACAGACAGACACATACACACACAAACAGAGAGACACACACAGACAGACAGACATACACACACACACACACAAACAGAGAGAGACATACACACAGAAACAAACAGAGAGACACACACAGACAGACACACGCAGACAGACATACACACACACACACACACACACACACAAACAGAGAGACACACACAGACAGACAGACAAAGACAGACATACACACACACACAAACAGAGAGAGACATATACACAGACACAAACAGAGAGCCATACACAGACAGACAGACACAAACAAACAGACACACACACACACACACACAAACAGAGAGTCACACACACACACACACACACAGACAGACACAGAGACACAAACAGACAAACAGAGGTGCTGAAAATGTAAGCCCCCTCAGGCGTCTCCGCATCTTGGCCTGGGACCCCTCAGAAGTGCCTTGGTGACCCCCCCCCCACATTAAGGCCCCCCAGTTATCAATCATGTCGGCTGGGGTCTGTGGCAGGAGACATCACCAGCACTCGCCGCAGCGCTGTGACCTCTGACCCCCACAGACACTTGGCCTCCCACCACATTTCTTTGCGGCGCTGCGGCACAGGAGGAAATGGCGGAACTACACCCCCCCCCCAACGAGACTCACTAGTGCCCTCGGCCAGTAGCTCCTGCCCGTGGCTGCCCAGTAGGGTGCGAGACAGGAAGGGCGCGAAGTCCACGAAGATCTCCCTGAGCAGGGTGGCGGGCCTCCGCAGAGCCAGCTCCAGCCTCCTGGAGACACTGTGGGGACGGAAGGACGCGGGAGCACGCGATGAGGACCAGGGCGGGACCAGACGTGAAGGCACGCGCAGCCCATGTGTGAGTCACACACAGAGCAAGCCAAAGGCATTTCCCCATAATTCAACTTCCTGTCTCTGAAAGTCCCCGTGGCGTCGCGGTGGGTTATGCAGACCCCAGCAGCGTTTAATTTCCTGTCTGCAAGGGACCTTTACATTCGTGCCCCCAGTGACCGTTGTCTTTGAGAGCGGATACTGCGGAGGGAGGGGCGAGGGAGCCCTCACCTCATGCCAAAGGCCGAGTCTTGGGTAGCGGTCGGCGTTGCTGCGGAAGTGGGCGGCGGCTTTGTGCTCAGAGACCCACCCGCTGAAAGAGAGCGCAGATGACAGACCTGTCAGCATTCACGTGCCGGTAATGCGAGTGATGCAGTGTATCTGAGCGTTGTCACTGGTGGAGAAGAGATGTGGTTAAAAATGCAGGAAAGCACATCCCAACAACGCACAGAACACAAATAAAGCAGTCTGCAGTAGTATAACATTATATATGCTAAAAATCTCTAACGAGCACTGGTTTCTTCACCTGCTTTGAGCTAGAAGTATCACTGAGATCTCGCGAGTTAAATACAAACTGGGTCTGTTCTGAACATCACACACATCACTTCTGGAAAACATCCCCCAAATGCCTGCTGCTGGAATCTGCTCCACATCCTTCTGCTCTGCAAACTGCAAGACAGGACCTCGAGGGCCCCAGCTAGCATTAAAGAGCCTGTAACCCCGAAATATACGACTCGGGTACGCAGAGCTGCACATAAAATCCCAGATTCCTTAAATGCTTTAAGCTGCTTCCATCTGAACTCCTCAGTGAAGCGGATCACATGACACAGGAAAGACACCCATAAATCCCCCATCTTCAGGGAGCCACCGGGACGCGATCCGACAGGCTGGGGAGACACTTACAGCCCAGACCCCAGACGCATGGAGAGTTACTGTTACTGACCTGCACTGCATAAAAATTCACCACCTCCCCTGCCACACCCTCTCCCTGCTACACCCTTCTGTCTGTTACACCCTCTCCCTGCTACACCCTTCTGTCTGTTACACCCTATCCTTGCTACCCCCTCCCCCTGCTATGCCCTTCCATCTGCCACACCCTCTCCCTGCTACACCATTCCATCTCCCACACCATCCCCTTGCTACACCCTTCCCCTGCTACACCCTTCTGTCTGATACACCCTCCCCCTGCTATACCTTCACTCACTCTCACTGGCCAGGCACTCTGAATCCTTTTTGATAAGTACTTAACTAATGACCCGCAATGATGTTTGGTTTGAACATAAAGCTTTAAGTGTGGCACAGTGGCCTCATACCTCCTGGGTAGGGGCTTCGAATGCCGGGTCTGTGTGCAAGTGTGGAGTTTGCGAACACTATCCATGTTGCACAGAGCTTCTCCAGGTTGTACGCCATTTATATACGAGATCAGTCTTGCCGCAGCTTCACTCTGACTCACCAACAGGCTCAGTGTCTCCAACAGGCTTCACGGTGGCACAGCCAATAGGGGGGGGTCCCAGGAAGTTTCCAGAAGAAGCAGAGGTGGGACCAAAGGGGGGCGGGGTCTTTCTGAGTAGCTCTGAGCCACTCCTGAGGAGTAGAACACTTACATCATGTAAAAGCATGGCACGGAATTCAAACACCAAGCCAGCATGGTGATGATGATTCAGCCATCTGTGAAAGGTGTGTTTCGCTCACAGCGTCTTACACCTTCTCGTGGTTCCTCTATATGGTGCCTGACTCTGTGACACCCTGTACTGGATGAGCAATTATTGACATACGACAAAGAATCTACTGTAGGCCTGATTTCAATTCCAGTTCGGCGTTCCACCACACTGCCCCTCAGGCTGCTGGCATCTGGGGGGGGCAGGACATGGCGGAGGGGTAATCCTTAACGATTGGCAGGAATCAGACACCACAGCAAGGGGGTGCAGCGAGTGTCTGGCCAGCCACAGGCTGCTCAGTGTGCCTCTCTACCTCTGTTGGTCTGTCCTCCATACCCACCCCCACAAAAAGCTGGTGAATATCCACAGCACCCAGAGATCCTGCTGGGGGATCCCCCCCCCAACGGGAGACTGGAGGTGAGAGCCGGACAGAGCAGCTGCTGGCATGTCAGGTATGCAGCCTGGATTAACACACGAGATTCAGGCAAGCAGCTTCCATGGCGTGGCGGTGTCTGCGTGACGGTGTCTGCGTGAGGGTGTCTGCGTGAGGGTGTCTGCGTGAG